AGCCACCAGCACTCAGCCATCCTGTCTTATTTGTGTATTTCCTCACAAGACTGCAAGAGTGGACATCCCACCATACCTAGCACTGGATCCTAAGCAGCAAACACAATACTGGGTACATATGAAGAACCTACTATGTGTATTTTAAATTAGTTCAAGAATGAGAGATGAATATTCCATTAATATTGGTGGTTCCATTACCACCATCGTCTAAGTCACTTGGCTCCATACTCGGGCATTCTTTATCCCCATCTGGTCTGGACTCAAGTCCCATTAATTCAGCCTCCATGGTTTGGACCTTTGCACTAGATCACTTCAGAGTGTACCTTGCTTCTAACCAATAGTTCTCTGCTTATTTTGAAAACTATTATCATTTGCTTTTAGAGAACTATGTCTCTCATTTCCTGTAGGCTTGAGGAAAATGTTTATATAAAAAGAAATTTTATTTTATGAGTAGTAAAAAAATAAATATATATCTTTTAGCTGGGGCTCAGATACTCATGCCTGTAATCCTAGCTACTCAGGAAGCTGAGATCTAAGGATAGCCGTTCAAAGCCAGCCCCAGGCAGGAAAGTCCATAGGACTCTTATCTCCAACAAACCATTCAGAAAACTGGAAGTGGCACTGTGACTCAAGTGGTAGAACACGAGCCTTGAGCTGAAGAGTTGAAGGACAGTGTCCAGGCACAGAGTTCAAGCCCTATGACCAACAAAAAAGCAAACAAAAAATCTTTTGGGGTTGGAGGTATGGCTCAGTTGGGAGAGTGCTAGCCAATGAGCCAAAGTGGTAGATCTCAGACCTAAAAAAAAAAAAAAAAGAAAGAAAAAAATTATCTTTTGTTTTAGGGAGTGGTCTTACCAAAGTTAAGAACCAAATGAGGCAAAAGCCACAGAAATAAAGTAGAGGGAGATTAGAATGTCTTCTTTATTCCTGACAGCTGTTTGAGATGTACGCTCACTGGTAAATATGTGCGCTGAAATTACACCTCTCCACTCAGTCCTAGGTAGTACTAGAAAATCATAGCCTAGCTGGGCTCAGTGGGGCATGACTACACATCCAGCTACTCACGAAACTGAAGCAAGAGGATTGGTTCATCCCAGGAGTTCTAGGATAGCTTAGGCAACAAAACAAGACCCTGACTCAAAATAAATAAATAAAACCACAACAACCCTCCCTCCCCCCCCCCCAAGCAGGAAGTGGCACTGTGGATCAAAGTGGTAGAGGGCTAGCCTTGAGCAAAAATGGAGCTCTGGGACAGCATCCAGACCCTGGGTTCAAGCCCCACAACCAACAAAAAGAAAAGAAAACCCCCAAACATAGTGGAAAAAGCATGTATCTTTTGGGGTTGGAGGTGTGGCTCAGTTGGGGGAACGCTAGCCAATGAGCCAAAATGTTAGATACCTGTTGAGGCAAACTTATGATGTTACAATGTTAAATATCAGAAGACCAAGTGGATTTCTATGGATAAATCCCAGGGATCAGCGGGGGTCAGCAGGGCCATATTCCTTCCAACAGAGAATCTATTATCTTCCTTCCCCAGCTTCAATGGTTGTCATCATTCCTTGACTTACGCTTGCTAGGCAGGCATTCTATCACTTAAACCACTATGGCCCCAGCCCTCCTTTGCTTTATTTTTCAGATAGAGTCTTGCACTTTTTACCTGAGGCTGACCTTGGATGGTAATTTTCCTCTCTAGACTTCTTGCTGTAGCTAGGAATACAGGAGTGAATCATACCGCCGTTTTTTTCTTCTTCTTCAGGTACTGGGACTTGAACTCAGGGCCTGGATTCTGTCCCTTAGCTTTTTTGTCCGAGACTAGTGCTCTACCACTTGAGCCATGTCTCCACTTCCAGCTTGATGCTGGTTAATAAGAGATAAGAGTCTCATGGACTTTCCTGCCCAGGCTGGCCTCAAACTTCAATCCTCAAATCTCAGCACAAGCCACTGACACCTAGCTCAGAAACACTCTTAACTGGTCTTTTTTTTTTTTTTTTTGTGCCAGTCATGGGGCTTGAACTGTAGGCCTGGGCTCTGTCCCTCAGCTCTTCAGCTCCAGACTAGCACTCTACCACTGGAGCCACAGCATCACTTCTGGTTTTCTGAGCAGTTGATTGGAGATAAGAGCCTCATGGACTTTCCTCCAGGCTGGCTTTGAATTGTGATCCTCAGATCTCAGCCTCCTGAGTAGCTAGGATTACAGGCGTGAGCCACCGCACCTGGCTTAACTGATCTTACACTGACTTCTTTCCCTCCTCTCCAGTCTGGTCCTGCAAATGATCTTTAAATAATGCAAATTTGGGGCTGGGAAGATGGCTCAGTGGTAGAGTGCTTGCCTTGCCTGCATGAGGCCCTGAGTTCGATTCCTCAGCCCCACATAAACAGAAAAAGTGGAAGTGGCACTGTGGCTCAAGTGGTAGAACACTAGCCTTGAGCTGAAGAGCTGAGGGACAGCACCCAGACCCAGAGGTCAAGCCCCATGACAGACAAAAAAATTAATAAAATAATGCAATCCAGGGGGCCGGTGGCTCACGCCTGTAATCCTAGCTACTCAGGAGGCTGAGATCTGAGGATTACGGTTCAATGCCAGTCCAGCAGGAAAGTTGTGAGACTCCTATCTCCAATAAACCACTAGAAAACCAGAAGTGGTGCTGTGGCTCAAGTGGTAGAGCACTGGCCTTGAGCTGAAGAGTGCAGGGACAGTGCCTAGGCCCAGAGTTCAAGCCCCATGACCAACAAATAAAATAAAATAATGCAAGTTTGGTCATTATTTTGCTGCCTCAGAAACTTCCCAATTTCCCAAGCCAAGTGAATAAAACCCATAGCACATCTGCTTTCTTCTGTTCCTGGAGGTTCTGTCAGCCTGAACTGTCTCCTACTCAAAGGTACTTTTTTTTCAAGGTATTTTTGTTTCATACCTGATGAACTCCAGATGGACTGTGAGCTCCACGTCTGTTACCTGACAGTGCTAGGTGCCAGCTTGCCAGACCAGAGCTCAAATCTCTGCTCAGCCACAGCTAGTCATGTGACCTCAGGCAAGGTGCAATACTTAACCTTTCTGTATGTCAGCTTCCTCTGTTTAAAAAAATAATAATAATGCAGATAAGTCAGGCACCCATGGCTCTCACCTGTTAGCTACTTAGGAGGTTGAGATCTGATGATCATGGTTTGAAGCCAACCTGGACAACAAATCAGAGAGACTCATCACCAGTTAACCATCAAAAAGCCGGAGGTAGAGCTGGTATTCAAGTGGCAGAGCCCCAGCCTGAAGCTAAAAAAGCTAAGGAAGAGCATCCAGGCCCTGAGTCCAAGCAACACTAACGGCACACACACATTTTTGTTGTTGTTGTTGTTAAAGCCAGATAATAAAGTAGCTACTTATCTATAGGTAGCTGTAAGGAGTGAGCTAATACATGTAAAATTCTTAGCTCACTGCTTCATACCTAGTACCCAGTAATAGGTAGATTAGTGCAGTTATAATTAAAGATTAATAGTTGAGTGACTAAATGAATGAGGGTTGCTCTTGTCCTGGAATGTCAATATTCTTATGGCTCCTTACTATGCCCCCAAAGCCTTGACTATTTTAGCAGAATGGATAAATCTTACATTTTGTGTCTTTATGTGTAGTCTTAGCTGCTTTTCCTCCCAGGAGTCCATGCCTGAAGGAAATCATTATGGGAATTGGTAGTGGAAAGGCAAGGCAGCTCCATTACTCCTTTCGTAATGCCCTGCTCACAGCAAATCCCAAGAAACTTGTCTTATTAGAAACAAGTTTTGGGTACATAGAAGCTTCCACCAAAGAGAAAGTGCTTACTTGCCAGAGCATTGTGCCCTCTGGGGTGCCAGCTTGTCATCCCCAGTCTTTTGTAATTCTGCTATTGTGTAACTGTGGATTGATCACAGTCTATCTCCAGACTTCAGCTTCCTTTCTGGGGAAAAAAAAAAAAAAATGGGTGTGACCATCTCTGCTTCCTTCTAAGTCACTGGGAGGACCCAACAAAATCAAGGAAGCAACTTATAAAAGCCCAGTGTGGAGATGAGAAGTGAAGGTTAACTTCTGGGATGTACAGTAGAAGTAACTGGAGAGCAATTTCATTACTAAGTTGTAGAAAATAGTTGCTATGAGCCTGTAGGCCAAACATAATGGTTTCCTAATCACACTCTCACTAAATTTAGGTCCAAAGGGACTCTTGGGGCTAGATGAAACTTTGACACACCAAAAAAGCTGTAGCAATTATTTCACTGTCTTGAGAGTCATTTCTCCTGAGAAATAGATCTTTTTTTTCCCCCCTGACTTTAAAAAGGTTGGTTTTCCCCCTTTTAAAAAGTAGTATCTGTTTATTTACTACAGAATTCATTATGGAAATATAAAACTGCACGAAGGAGAGAAGCTGCTCTAGTCACGGGACAGAGATCTCCACTTGTAATGATCAAACAAAATTGGGAGTTTTGTTGTAACTGTAATTTTGTATTCTACAAATGAACATTTCCCAGTGATTTAGATAGTCACGCAATGGGAAAGGTTCAATACGCACATTTGTTGCAATTAATATAATTGATCTCTTTCTTTCTTTCTGTTTCGTTTTGGGATTTGGGTAATAATCCACATCTTTGTTACACAAAACTTAATATGTATCATTATGTCCTTTAAATTCCTGAACTAAAGTGTTTGTATGTAATACAAGTTATCTATTTGTTTGCTAAGAGTTATTTTACCCATTGCCCACGGGAGTTGCAGTTGTCATTAACTGTCAATTGCCGAACTAGAATTCCCTGTCCTGGCCGCTGCCTGCCTTCACGTTTTCCCGCCCACTCTGCACACAGGCCGCGAGCCTCACGAACACCCCGCCCCACTCAGTTCGTGATGGCCCGCCTCTTCCTTACTCTAGAATTCATTCTATCCAGTTAGAAGCAGCCTTCCTCAGTGTCGACGAGCGATTGGTAAACTGAACTGTCCGTTAGTTCTAGGGGCGGACCGAGAGGGCTGATGGACTCGGTACCTAGCCAATGTGCAGCCTTGGAGAGTGGGCCGTGCGTGGTGTGCGTGGCGCGCTGGCCTGGAAGCACTGGACCTGGGAGGTGTGCTTGGCGGGTGGCGGTGAGAGGTTTTGGCGGACATGGCTCCCACCGCGTTAGCGACCGACCCCAAACCGAAGTATCCTAAAGGCATCCGGGCGGTACTGTTGGGGCCTCCTGGAGCTGGCAAAGGTACCCAGGTGAGCGTCCAGACCGGGCTCGGTGGTAGAGCCCGAGAAACTCCAAGGTCAAGGCGGCCTGAGCTCTGGAAAGCCCTTTTCTCGCCCAGGATCTGGTGATGGGCCGAGGCCTAGTGAGGAGGGGGACTCGCTACGGTCTGGTGAAGTGTTCAGGGGGAGGATCCAAATTGGAGGTCGGCAGGTTTGGGTTAGGATTGGGGTCCTTGAAAGCCCCTGGCTGAAGTAAGGTGTGGTAAAGGATGTTAGGGGCTGTTAGATGCCTTGGGGGGGGGGCAGGGCGGGTGGGGGGGCGGCGGCGGTAAGAGACTGGGAGATTCAAGGGGTGGCGGAGCCGGTGGTTGAGACTCTGGATTACAGGCCACCTGGAGGCCAGAAGTTTCAGAGTACCTGCGAGTTAGGAGTGGATTGTCCTGAATCAGGTTTACTCCCCGGCGCTTGTAGGAGAACTTTTCTAATCATGATTATTGACTTGGGGTGGAGGGCTGTTTCCTGCCCGTGGGGCCGAGTGGGAGCTGGTATGTACTGATTAGAAGTACTACTGAGAAGAGTGAGGTGTGACCTGGGTGCCCTTTTTATGTTGTGGGGGGGTGGGAGGAAACCCTAAGATTCTCCCCGTTTGTCTGGAAAGCTGGAGGTGGAAGAATAGATCTGGTTTGTAACCTCTGGATCCATGAGGGTTTCCGAGTTTGAACCTTTGAATAGTGCCCCAATGAAGGATTGGTAATGCACACGAGGTCTCTGATTACTCCGGGATCAGTCTGAAGGAAGGCTGAGCAGCTGCTCAGGTGATTCAAATGATTTTAGATGCGAAGGAACTCGAAATAACTTCCCGGATCAACAGGTAAGGAAACAAGTCTAGAGAAATCAACTGGCTTTCCCAAGTTAGTCAAATTAGTTTCCTGGACATGAAGCGAAATTTAGAAGCTTTGGGTCCCTAGAGGACCCAGATTGTAGTTGCCTTTCTGCCCTAGCAGATCACAGGGTTTCACTTGGAATCTGGGCTCTCTCTAGATCTAGGCCATAATGGGGTCATAGATTAGGGTTCAGATTTATGGTATTATTTAGATTCTCAAACTCATGGGATGGGTAGTTGATGCCACTTTTCTGCCTTAGGGTTTAGCATTGCCATCCTTCCCACATCAAACCTTAGGTCTTGGGCCCTAGTTCATCCTTAGACTATGAAGAAGGAATTTGTGTAGGTCTGGGCTCTCTCCACTTTTTCGGGCACTTGCCAAATTCTGAAGTCTGGGCAAACAGACCATCTTGCTCATTTCGGGGGCCCTTATGGCACACAGCTTGAAACTTGTTGGAGTTAGTGGAAAAGGATGAATGACATGATAATATAGGCGATGAGTGTGACTTGGCTTTCTGCCTACATGCACTAGATTAGAAAGGATCACTTTTCCAGGTCTGTCTGTAAACTGAGCTACTTCTCTTTGGGACTCCACCTGTACTGACCCCTCCTTTGTGCCCAGTGATGTCGATAACTCCTTTTTCCTGTTGCTGCCAACTTCTGTTATTAGGTAACCTGCAACCTTAGGGTTTTACACCAGATTCTGTGGATTTGTGCTATGACTAGTGAAGTACAAACAGGATAGTTCAAATGAGATTTTTTTTTTCTTTTGACGTCAGTAGTTTGAGTAGTTGTGAAATGAACAGCCCATTCCAATGCTGAGACAAGAGTTTTATGAACTAGCAAGTTCAGTGACTTCAGAGCCTCCATGTTCTTACCTGAAAAGTAAAAAGTTCACAAGGATACTAGAAGGCCTAGCATAATAGGTGTTTGATGAATATTGACTCACTTATTGTTCTAACACATCTTCCCGCACATCTTTCTAACACATCTTCCAATTTTGATGTATTTCTTTATAAAACATGATTTATTTCGAAGTTTTGAAGAAAATTACACTTACAGGCTGGTTGACAAAGGTGTAGGAATAGTGAGAATTGTTCAGAGACAGCTTTGTGAAGTGGAGGGATTAGAAGTGGCACTTAAGGAAAAGGTAAGAGCTACAAATGTCATTTAGCTTAATTAGGTACTCTTCCCAGTTCATAGAACAATAGGAATTCTGGTAATTGTATTTAAAAAGTTTATAAGTCAGAGGTTTCAGAGGTCTACAGCAGCAGCATTTAGCCTGCAGATACACCCCCCACACACTAACTTTTTATTATGATAAGTTCTGAATGCATGGAAGACAAGGATAATATAATGAGCCTCAGTAACCATCAATTGGTGGTTATTGCTTCTCCCTACAAGTTACAAATTATTACAAGTCATTATACAGCAACTCTCAGGTACCATAACACATCATTTGTGAATATTTCGAATATCTGCAAGATAAATTCTTGTAAAATACAAGTACAAGCTGGGCACCAGTAGCTCATGCCTACAATCAAGTCTACTCAAGAGGCTGAGATCTGAGAATCAGGGTTCACAGCCAGCTGAGGAAAACAAATCCAATAATCTCTCATTTCTGGTTAATGAACAAAGAGCTAGAAGTGGAAATATATGTCTCAAATATTAGAGCTCCAGCTGTGAGTGAAAAAGGCCTACCCAGAACACAAGATCCAGAATTTTAAGTACTGATACACTCCCAAACACACACACACACAGAGTGCTCTAAAAAGTTAACTTTTTAATTTTTATTCTTTAACAATTTTAAGATGGAAGTTGATGGCTCACATCTGTAATCCTAGTTGCTCAGGAGGCTGAGATTGAGGATCATTGTTCAAAGGTAGCCTAAGCAGGAAAGTCCCATAGACTCTTATCTCCAATTAACTACCAGACAATCAGAAGTGGAACTGTGGCTCAAAGTAGTAAGTGCTAGTTAGCTTTGAGCAAAAGAGCTGTGGGACAGCACCCAGGTCCTGAGTTGAAGCCCCATGACTGAAAAAAAAAAAAAGTTAATGATTTTAATTGGAATTAGTGTTCAAGTTAGTATTTGTCTTACAAATGTGATCATTTGAACTCCCAAGTTTTTATTCCTTTCTCTTTTTCTTTCTTTCTTTTTTTTTTTTGAGCCACAGCGCCACTTCCGGCTTTTTCTGCTTATATCATGCTGAGGAATTGGACCCAGAGCCTCATGCATACGATGCAAGCACTCTGCCACTGACCTACCTTCCCAACCCCTCTTTTCTCTTTTTCTATACTATATATTTGTGAAAGAATCTAGTACATCCTGGGAGTACTATTCCTTATTCTAGGAATTTTCACGTGTGTCCTGTTAGCATTTAACATCCGCCTCTGTCATGGTTCCTATAATTACTTAGTTTACTTCATATGCTTAATCAGATTCAGGGTTTGGGCCCAATACCACAAGTGGTGCTCCGCTGTCAGGAAGCACCTGCTGTCTGCTCACCTCTGTGTTGTTTGCAGATACTGTTATTCAGTGCCACAGTCCAGTCATTCATTATGGATGACAAAATGATTGGTGTCCTAACTCTATTCACTTTTCATTTACTGGCTGAGATACTCTTATCAGAAGAAATGTTCCTTTATTCATTACCCAGTCTTATGTTCTATATAGAAGAGTTAATGTGTCATTTATTCTTTTTTTGCCAACTTTCAAAATACTAAATTGAATGTTTTCATTTGTGCTAGGGCTCCAGTTTCTCTTGAGAAATGAACAGACTGGGTAGCAGTGGGCCTCCATACCAGTGTGGCAGTACTCCTTAGCTGCAGAGTGGCAGTTCTATTTAGAAGGGCACCATTGCTCCCTGCTGGCCCCTGGCCCCTCACAGCCTTTTGTGCACATTAGACTTAGTTCATTCATTTGCATTGCCTGCCTGGCCATCTTTGGCAAGTGTTTGCAATCTTTGGTGTAAAATCCCTAAGCTGGGGCTTAGTAACTGGAACCTACTCAGTGACATTTGGTTTTTTCCCATTGTTACTTCCTGTTATACCTATATAACTCAGAGTTCTATGTGTTCCATATGGGCATGACTGAGATTATCTTTCCTTTGAAAACTCTTGATTTAAAAATAACTATTTAAGGGCTAGAGGTATAGCCCAAGGACTACAGCATCTGCCTAGCAAGCATGATTCCCTGACTTCAAACCCCAGTTTCACCAAAAAAATAGCCATTTGAAAATGGTCTGTTTTTATATTAAAATAATGTTTTAAAGCAACTAAAATACTTGATTGAGGTTATTTATTTGCTGGCACTCCTTCACCTGAGCCATAGTTGCCAGTCCTGCTATTTTTACTGTGTTTCTCTCTCTCCCTTCTGGAATAGGATGCTCCTGTACTGTGGCCAAACCCAAGTGTATTTCTTAGCCAAGTGTAGTAGTGCATGCCTGTGATACCAGCACTTAGAAGGTTGAAGCAAGTGAATCAAGCAAGAGTTCCTATCTGGAGAGGAAAAAAAGAAAGAAAGAAGAACCACCTAGATAACTACCTGAGAACACTCAATCATAATTTCTCTTTCTTTCTTTTTTGTCAATCATGGGGCTTAATTTCTGGGCCTAGGTGCTGTCCCTATAGCTCTTTAGCTCAAGGTTAGCGCTCTTCCACTTGAGCCACAGTGCCACTTCCAGCTGTTTATGTGGTGTTGAGGATTGAACCCAGGGCCTCATGCATACAAGACAAGCACTCTACCACTGAGCCACCTTCCCAGCCCCCCAATCACAAAATTTAAGAATGGGTCTGGCATTTGTATTTTAAGTAAGTGCCTTGGATATTTATAATACAGATTTTTTTATATGGGATTACAATCTGATAATGTATCCCATCATTAAAAGTCATAAGCCAGGCACTGGCAGCTCATGCCTATAATCCTGTCTACTCAGGAGGCTGTGACCGAGGATTGCAGTTTGAAGCCACCCAGGCAGAAAATTCCCTGTGAGATTCTTACCTCCAATTAACCAACAAAAAGGCCAGAAGTGGAGCTGTGGCTCAAGTGGTAGAGCACTAGCCTTGAGCACAAAAAAGCTCAGGGACAGCACCCAGGCCCTGAATGCAAACCCCTGGACTAACACACACAGGTGGCAGGAACCATGTCCAACCATGAACCATGAAGATGACTAAATCCTTGAAGTAGCTCAAGAAACAGCCCAAAAGAGATGGATGGGGAAGATAAGACTTCAAGCAGAAATAAGAAAAGGAGTGAAGACACTGGAAAGGGAACCTGGCCACAGGTGGAAGTAAGAAATAAGGCCAGCTGGGTGCTGGTGGCTCACACCTGTAATCCTAGTACTCAGGAGGTTAAGATCTGAGAATTTGGGTTCAAAGCCAGACGGGGCAGGAAGAGAGAGATAAGAGGTAAGAGACTCTTAACGTCCAATAAATCACAGAAAATCTGAAGTGGTGCTGTGGCTCAAGTGGTAGAGCACTAGCCTTGAGATGAAGAGCCTGGACAGTGCCCAGGCCCAGAGTTCAAGCCCCGTGCCTAACAAAAAAAAAAAAAGAAATGTGGCAAAAAGCAATCTGTTCTTCTTGCTTAAGATGATAGAGTCTCTTGATTCCATTTCTATTTAAATATCCAAGTTCCTTTCCATAACACCTCTTGACAACCATAACTAGAATGAGTGTTGTTTTGGGAGTCTGTTGTACATTTAAGAATAAACTTGTATTTTTACCAAAAAAAGGTGGGGGGGGGGGCGCACGGAAGAAAATTTAGCTGGGTCCAGTGGCTCATGCCTGTATTCCTAGCTACTCAGGAGGCTGAGATCAAAGGATCACCATCCAGAGCAAGCCCAGGTAGACATGTGCTGGTGAATTGGACTCTTTTCTTCAATTAACCAGCAAAAAGTCAGAAGTGGAGGCTTGGCTCAAGTTGGAGGAGGCCAGCAATGAACAAAAGGGCTTTGATAGAGCCCTGGTACTAGCACAAGGCAGAAATGGGGAGATGAGGAAAGGGAGAAAGAGGAGAGAGGAGAGAGGATTCATAAGTCAAACCATAGCAAGCCAGGGTCTGTCAGTACACTAAAGTTTGAAAACACAAAACCACATACTGTGCCTCTCGTGTTTTTAGCCATTCTTACACACGCCTTAAAACAGTCTCCCACCGTCCTCCCCATTGTCAGGGTTCTGGTAGAGGTAGGTGTTAAGCCTATTCCTTGAGCTCAGCATCAGTGTGGCCAGCAGCAGAGTGGTTATGTGGATTCTAGACCTTTCCTCTCAAGAGTGTGGCCCAGAGGCCAGCCACCCATCCAGACGAGATGCCTTAAAACTAAACACATGCAGGGCTGGGAAGGTGCTCAAGTGGTAGAGCACTAGCCTTGAGCTGAAGAGCTGAGGGACAGTGCCCAGGCCCAGAGTTCAGGCCCCACGACCAGACCCCCCCCCAAAAAAAAAAAACAACAACAACTAAACACATGCTAGATGCCTACTGTACTGAATCAAATCTGCAAGTTAGCATCACTCCTTGCCCACCTCCCACCAGCCCAAGTAATTCAGAGTAAGAGAATCTAATGTAAAATGTAAGTCTAAAGTGCTAAGGAATTACAATAAAGTTATCTCTCCAGGCCTTTATAGTCTGCAAAGAAAGGGTAACATAAGAAAGACCATGATACTAGGCCCTGGTGGCTCACTCCTGTAATCCTAGATATTCAGGAGGCTAAGATCTGAGGATCGCAGTTCAAAGCCAGCCAGGGCAGAAAAGTCCCAGTGGGACTCTTTATCTCCAATTAAAACACTCAAAAACCAGAAGTGGCACTGTGGCTTAAGCACTAGTCTTAAGTACAAAGATACTCAGGGACAGTGCCCAGGCCCTGAGTTCAAGCCCTATAACCAACAACAACAAAGACCATGGAAGTCTTGTATTTGTTGAGTGCTTATTGCAGGTCTGATATTTTTGTATTTTATTCCATTTACCTTCCTAAGGGTCCTATGAAGTAGCCATTGTCCCCACTTGATTAGTGGTAAAGCTAACTCTTGAGAACTGAGTAGTCTGATAACATAGAGCTATTGAGGGTCTCAGGATTCAGCCAATTATATGGATCCCCACTTGGCCAGCAGGAAGTAAAAGAGGTAGTCTTGGTTTGTACTAGTGTGTGTACTTTATGGTATATAAGAGTCCTGCTTGGCTTGTTTTTTTTGTTTGTTTTTTGTCAGTCATGGGGCTTGAACTCTGGGCCTGGGTGCTATCCCTCAGCTCTTCAGCTCAAGGCTAGTGTTCTTCCACCTGAGCCACAGTGCCACTTCTGGTTTTCTGTGATTTATTGGAGATGAGTCTCACAGACTTTCCTGCTCAGGCTGGCTTTGAAAAACCATGATCCTCAGATCTCAGCCTCCTGAGTAGCTAGGATTACAGGCATAAGCCACTAGTACCCAGCTGGGTTTTATTATACTATCTACATATATGCATGGGCACACATGCACACACATCCTCCCCACCCCCAGTATCATCTCCTTTTTCCCTCTCTCCACCCACTGATCTCCCCTCCACCAGTCTCCCTTTTATACATTAAGATGCAGTGTATAGTGAGGGAAGAGGTGACACTGTCAAAAAGAAATATACTTTTTACCCGACTTTGGCTTATGTAATTGTACATTGCCTTTATAATAATTTAAAAACATTTAAAGATGCAGTTTATAATGCCTTCTTATCTGAGTTCCTTTTTGCTCTGAAGGAATGTCTTCACTTGAATTAATCCATGAATCACAAACCAGAATTTCCTGCATTAAGACCCAAATAACTGGTTTGAACTGGAACCCAGCTACTTATTTTCTGAAACAACTGAACTAGAAAGATAGCCATGAGCTACTTGAACTGATTCAATTCCATGTGAGTTCTATTTTCCCTGTTTAGCCACAACAAAGCCTATGTTGAACCATTCAAGATCTCTTCCAGTCCAATTGTGCATCCTGATTTATAGTGCACCAAACTGGGAGCTCTTTTTGCAGTACTGGGTTTGATTCTTAGAGACATTGTACATGCTAGGTAAGTGCTTTGCCACTAAGCTGTAGTCCTGGCTCAAAACTATGAGCTTTTGAGAATAGGATCTATGTCTCCTGTTCATTTATTTCCTTGACTCTTAACAGCGTTCTTTGGAGAGACATTGGTAAAGTAAATGATTTCTTTCCATGTAAGTGAATAGAGGACTAGGGAAGAGGTGACTAACAGAGGACGCTCACTGAGGACTTACATACTGTGTGCTACAAATGCCTAGTGCCATAGCATCTTATCAACTCAATGGTGACAGCCATGATTAACATCTCCATTTCACAGGAATTTGAAACCAAAAGGGTAAAATGACTTCCCAAGTTAGGTATGTAGTGATGGGTGCACCTGTAGTCCAAGACCAGGCAGTTTGACTCTTAAGTTCATGCCCTTAGAATAAATTTATTCTAAGCCAGAGTTTAAGGCCAGACTACTAAATAGTGTGAGTCGGGGAGAACTATACTGTACAACTCATCAAGTGTTCTGCCTAAATAATCTCATCTAAGCCTCACAGCCACCTTCTGAGAGGATCCTGTTCTGTTTTATATCAAGCAAATGAGAAAGGGAAGCTGAGCCTGTGGAAAGTTAAGTGAATTGGCCAAGATAATGACATAGCTACGTGCTACTGACAAGGAAGGGGAGGAGCCCAAATTTGTCTGGAGTAAACCTCTGTTCTTTTCTCCTGTGGCAAGTATTCAGTATATTATGTGCCATGCCTTGTTTCATATGTGTCATATACCATATATATACACATATATATATGGTTTTATTTACACTTTGCAACAGCTATGTGAAGTGTTAATACTGCTTTTGTGTGTGTGTACGTGTATCAGTCCTAGAGCTTGAACTCAAGGCCTGGGCACTTTCCTTGAGCTTTTGTGCTCAAGGCTAGTGCTCTATGACTTTGAGCCAAAGCTCTATTTCTGGCTTTTTGGTAGTTAGTTGGAAATAAGTGTCTCACAGGACTTTCCTTCCTGAGCTGACTTTGAACCGTGATCCTCAGATCTCAGTCTCCTAAGTACCTAGGATTATAGATATGAGCCATGAGCACTTGATAATACTGCTGTTTTTATTCCCATTTATAATAGGGAAACTGATCTGTGTTGTTGTCTAGTGGACATAGTAATAATAGCTAGTATTGGCTTGTTTTCTGTTAGTTGTACTGTTTTAAGTATTTTGCATATGTTGTAATATATCTGTTACCATAATCCTATAATCAGTTTTTAAATTATTTTATTTACTTATTTATTTATTTATTTTGTCAGTTGTGGGGCTTGAACTCTGGGCTTCAGCGCTGTCCCTGCGCTTTTCAGCTCAAGGCGAGTGCTCTACCACTTGAGCCACAGCACCACTTCCGGTTTTCTAGTGTTTTGTATTGGAGATAAGAGTCTCACAGACTTTCCTGCCAGGGATGGCTTTGAACCATGATCCTCAGATCTCAGCCTCCTGAGTAGCTAGGATTACAGGCGTGAGTCACCGGCGCCTGGCTTTACTATAATTATTTTACATGAGAATATAATGTAAGATAGATGAACTGAGGCTTGAGTTCACATAGCCCCTTATAAACATGTATAAACATGACATAGACCTGCTTCATACCCAGGCCATCTGACCCAGGGCCTTCAGTTTTAAATCTTAGCTTGGTTTTTGTGTTTTTCTCCACAGGCACCAAAATTGGCTGAGAACTTCTGTGTCTGTCATTTGGCCACTGGTGATATGCTGAGGGCCATGGTGGCTTCTGGTTCAGAACTTGGGAAAAAACTGAAGGCAACTATGGATGCTGGAAAGCTGGTGAGTATACCAGTGAATGCTGATTATCCTGAGTGCAGATCTGAACTGTCTAGTATCAAAGCCATTTCAGACATTCACCAGCAAACACAGACACAGAGCATTTCCTTCTGAAAGAAACTTGAATTAGAGGATCTTTTTAACAAACTGGTAGATAATGTGAACTTTCAGAATAGCAAGTTACTTAGTTTATTCTGAATTTATGATGATTAATTTTTTCACAGTTTTCTTTGAAGCTACTTGAATGCTTTTTAAAATACATCCAAGTTTGCCAGGCACCAGTGGCTCACAACTGTAATCCTAGCTACTCAGATGGCAAAGGTCTGATGATTGTGATTCAAAGCCAGCCTGGGCAGGAAAGTCTGTGAGACTTTTTGTTGTTGTTGTTGGTCGTGCGGCTTGAATTCTGGGCATTTCCTCAGCTCTTCAGCTCGAGGCCAGCGCTGTACCACTTGAGCTACAGCACCACTTCCAGTTTCCTAGTGGTTTATTGGAGATAAGAGTCTCAAGGACTTTCCTGCCCGGACTGGCTTTGAACCACGATCCTGAGATTTCAGCCTCCTGAGTAGCTAGGATTATAGGCATGAGCCACCAGTAACCCAGGTAGTCTGTGAGACTTATCTCCAATGAACCACCAAAAAGCCAGAAATGGAGCTGTGACTCCAGTGGTAGAGCACTAGGTTTGAGTGAAAAAGCTCAGAGATAGCACCCAGGCTGTTAGTTCAAGCCTCCCCTTACTCCCAGCCCCAAAATAAAAAAAACTCACCCAAATTATAAGGTCAAAAATGAAACTGCTGTCTCTAGATTAGAATTTACGAATGTATTCAGAGAAGACTTGAGAGGTCACAGAAGTATTTGTTAACTCCTGTGGTTCAGTGTTCAGTGTCTCACCCAAAAAAGTTGATCACTGTGACAAAAGCAGTCTTCCTGTTTGGAGACCATAATAGGATTGTCCTAGTTTTAGGCCAGTTAGTCTGATTGGACAAATACAATATATTGTCTGCTAGGTCTTTGATTAGTGCCAGAACTTAATTCTAATAGTTATCCTGGAACTTGACCTCTAGGAATCACTTTCAGAAGTCATTTTATGTATGATCCTTTGCTTTTGTTTTGTTTTTTGCTCATGCTAGAGATTGATCCCTGAACACAGGGTCACTGGGAATATTTGTTGAATAAGGGATGAACTTCATTTTCATCCCCGAGTTATGTCCTGTTAGGCTTTGAGGTACTATATTGAGTGGTACTATTATCTATCTGTCCCCTCTACCCATTGCTTTCTAGCTTTCCCTTTAATTTAGGGAGGCCTTGAATCAAGCAGAAAGCTAGATATTTTGGACTTTGGGTCTTGGCAAAAAATTCTTTACTGAAAAAAATTGGGATGTGGCAATAAGATTGCTTATCTCCAGTCTTCACTTAGTAATAGAATTTGTACTTTGTCCCCACATTCATAGTTGGTTTTAAGAGATAACAGCTTGCCAATCTGTATGATACAGAATAGGAACTTTTCATTTCTATAAAAGCACAAAAAGAAAAAAAATTTCTTTTTGAATACCAGGAGGGATTGGTGCTATCCCTGAGTTTTTTTGCTCAAGGCTAGCATTCTACCACTTGAGCTATAGCTCCACTTCTGCTTTTTGGTAGTTAACTGAAGATCAAAGAGTCTCATGGATTTTCCAGAGTGTCTTTGAACTGTGATCCTCAGATCTCAGCCTTCTGAGTGGCTAGGATTGTAGGTTTGAGCCGCTAGTTCTTAACCTTCCTGAGATTTTTAGGGAGGCTCAGAAGTATTTTGGACATGAAAGGCAGGCAAACACTTGTAATCCCAGGTATATAGGAGGCACAGATAGAAGAACTGCAGTCGGGAGCTGGCCTGGGCAAAAAGTACAGGACTTCATGTATGTCCAAAGTTGGCCAAATGTATGACAAGCACACATCTCAATCATGATACTGTTAGCCTAGTGAAAACTGTGAATCTGGGAGAGTTAGTACCTTCCTGCACCCTGATCAGTCCCAGCTCTAGTTCTCCTGAGGTAATTTCCCTGCCCTTGCCCTCACTTTCCTTATGACTTGAGAACAGCTGGTTGTCAAAATAAGCTGTTATCTTGTGTTTAAGACTTGATTTAATGGCAGGGAAGGCCTTCAGGACCTGTGACATGGAGCTCTTCTGAGGCTTTGGAGTCCCTCTTCCCTCACCAGCTTATGGAAACACAGGAGAGTTTCAGGAGAAGATACTATATATGTGGCAAATATGGAAATCCTGAATTTTGGGCTTGCAAATGGGGCCTGAATCTGGCAGCTTTGAGTCACTGTGACGAGATTAACTTAAAAGAGGGAATATTTATTTTGGCTCATGGTTTCAGAGGGTTCAGTCTAACGTTACTTGGCTTCATCGTTTCTGGGCTCCTACCAGCAGAACAAGGTGGAAAGCACATGATGGAGCACAGCTGCTAGGAGAAGGGGGAGGAGAGGGAGATGGAGAGAAAGAGGGGCAGAGGGAAAGGGAGAGGCAATTTATCTCATTAAGTAATTAGGTTATGCACACACAAACTTTTGACCTTGAAGTTGGGCTAATAGCACGTAATAACAAATTTCAACGCCTGGCTCCTTTGTTCTTAACGTCCAGGTGAGTGATGAGATGGTAGTGGAGCTTATTGAGAAGAATTTGGAGACCCCTTCATGCAAAAATGGCTTCCTTCTAGATGGCTTCCCTCGGACTGTGAGGCAGGCTGAAATGGTGGGTAGTATCACTATTGCATGAAGACAAACTCTGATCCCTCCCTCCCTCCCTCCCTCCCTCCCTCCCTCTCTCTTTCTCTCTCCCTCCCTCCCTTCCTCCCTCCCTCCCTCCCTCTTTCTCTCTCTCTCTCTCTCTCTCTCTCTTTCTTTCTTTCTTTCTCTCTTTCTGTTGTGGGGCTTGAACTCTGGGCCTGGGCGGCTGTCCCTGAGCTCTTCAGCTCAAGGCTATTATTCTACCACTTGAGCCACAGTACCACTTCTGACTTTTTCTGTTTATATATTGCTAAGGAATTGAACCCAGGGCCTCATGCATGCAAGGCAAGCACTCTACCACTGAGCCACCTTCCCAGCCCTGACCCTTTTAATTCCTTTGAAGTATATAGGTATGGTAGCTTAAGTGGGTCAAATGCTCTTTTACAGCTTGATGACCTCATGGAGAAAAGGAAAGAGAAGCTTGATTCTGTGATTGAGTTCTGCATCCCAGACTCCCTGCTCATTCGGAGAATCACCGGAAGGTACCTGTCCCTTGAAGGTCTCTCCTTTTCATGCTTCTTCAGAGGTTTATCAGATTATGACAGTTACTCTTGCCTGCTCCCAGCCATGAAGCTAAGTGCTATGTCAACATAGATTGGTCTTATTTGGTGACTGGGGTGTGACATGGGATGTGGTGATACAGGAAAAAGAGCAAGGGATTTGAAGTCAGGCAGGCACATTTGTTAACCTGTCCAAGGTTGCTTCCTTATATGGAGAATGCGGTTAATAGTACCTGCCTCAAAGAATTGCTGTGCATATATTAGATGACATAAAGTATATAGATGAGTGTTTTGCTTACAATAGATACTAAGAAATGTCAAATTCCTTTCAAGTGTGTGTCTCTCTCTGTTCTAGTGTTTTCTAAATATGGCTTCAATTGGAACTGCCATACTTTGCCACTGAATTTTTATTAATTACAAAAATAATATGATTAGCTACATAAAGTTTAGAAAATGGAGGGAAAACTTGTTCTTAGTATAGCCACCTTAGTTTTTGTGTATTTTTCTGTATAATAGTTGTGTGCAGCATAGAAATGCTTTTGCTTCTGAACAAGTTTATTCTGAAGAGCTGCTTTAGAGCTGTTTTAGGCTGTTACCTAAACCCTATTTCTCTTTGCACTCTGCCATCTGCTTTGTGCTTCCCAGAAATATGTTGGAAGCTCTCAACCATTAATGGGCCTTCCGTATTCCTCTTTATTGTGAGATAGAGCTTTTTTAATGTCTTGTTATTTTAATAAAGTCTCAGCCCACCATCTTGAACTAGACATTCATGAAAATTATTTTCAATTGTTACATATTTCACAGTATTAAGGGAAGCTTTCTTTACTTGATTATTCCCTTATGACATATATTTGTGTTTCAGCCACTATTAAATGAAGATTACGACCACATTAGATCGTGTGTCAACTTGGAACTATTTTGTAGCGATGGCAAATAGAACCCAGGGCCTCATGCTTGATAGGCAAGTGCTTTGTCGCTTGAGCTATGCTTCCAGTCATTTCATGTATATTTTCTTTTTGAGATAGGGTTTGCTAACATTGTCCAAACTAGCCTCAAACTTGCTCTTCTATCTCAAAGTAGCTGGAATTACAAGAGTGTGCTAACATGATTGGCTAAGTTTTTAATTTAGGAAGAAAATGTCTTAGACTATAACTTTGACTTTTGTTATAAGATTGGGTAACTTTTCCATGTGTTGGTAGTCTATACCAAACGTGAAAAGTGTTATCTGGCAAGGTTGTGTTAGATATACAATTGATTCTACTTTGTTATTTTTCTTTTCAAGTGTTCTAGTTTCATGTTCCAATTCTTCTATAGACTTCTTCAATGCAGGGCTTTTTGCTTCTTTGTGCCCCTGTTAGGTAGAGAGAAGACAAAGTTATAATGTAGGCTAAGAACGGTAAGGCTATCAATAAGGATGTCATCAGACCTGAGTCCTTGAGATGCAAAGCAAATGTTAGCAGAACCAGACAACACTGGGAGCCTTTGGCTGGATAGATCCAATACCCTGAGTACATCTCTACATGCCACAATATTAGCCCTGAGGTCAAAGACTAGGAAAAACTCAAGAACAGAGATGGGGAATACTATATAAGGCCCTTGAAGTCATTTGATACATTACATGGCAAACATTTATTCTCTTTGGCTCTTGGCTCGACTGCCCATCACCCATCTGCCTATATTGATAACTGTGTATGACCTGCAAATGATGTTATAAATATCTCAATGGCCCTTGGCAGAACACAGATTCCCTACCCCTGCAAAATAATAAAGTGATGTCCATCTCTGACCTCCAAGAGTGATGCATGAAATCTGGATTGTTCTGTATTTGGTGCAGTAGGAAGTCCAAGATTAGAATCTGAGGACTAGTGAGGAAGCCTGCCTAGGAGCAGTGTAACATGCACTCAACCTTGGTGGATGAAGAGAATTTCAGTGAAGTTTTCCCAAAAAGGAATAGAAACAAAAATGAATCTGAATTGGGGGCTAGTACTACATGTTTTGCCCAAAATTTAAGGAGTATTCTGGGGACTGGGTAGCAGTATGGGGGCTTAGCAGATCTTCTGGGCTGAAAAGACTTGACAAAGCTTTCTGCCATCATGGAATAATCTTGAGCTAGGGGTTGGGGAAAGTACAGCATTAAAGAATATTATCTTGGTGCTGGCATATAAATTAAATTGAGAGAATCACTAGTGAGCCACATGGAGTGATGGAGCCCTGTTACTAGTTGAGGGAGCAGACAGTTTCTGAACAAGTTGCAGGATTGAGTGAAGGAAAGAAGGGAAGAACTGGGTCCCTCAGTTTGCAATGTGAGTGGTTTAGTGTGAATAAAGAGGACCCACACCTTCATGGGACATGCCACAGGAGTGAAGGTCTGTTTTTCAAGTCTGTCTGACAGGTGAATGGTAGGGCTAGTACCAGAAACCTGCTTTCTGCCTCCTAGTTTACTATGCTGATATGATGGTCAGAAGAAAGTGAGACCAGTACTAGTCAGTTTAATATGGCTTAAGTGGTAGTCCCAGGGACTCTAATAGTGGAGCCAACCTTACTGTATGAAACTGAGTTACACACCTGCTCACTCTTAACTTCTTTTTTGTTGGGTGGAGAGAGTGTTGGTTTTTAGGTTTTGGTACCAGTACTGAGCTTGAACTTAGGGTCTGGACACTGTCCCTTGGCTTTTTTTTTTTTTTTTTTTTTTTTGCTTAAGATTAGTGCTTTTGCTTAAGACTAGTGGTTTACTAGCAATAAGTGTCTCACAGACTTTCCTAACTGGGCTGGCTTCAAACTGTGATCTTCACATCTCAGCCTCCTGAATAGCTAGGATTACAGGCATGAGCCACCAACACCTGGCTGAGGAGAGCTTATTTCTGTGAGTTACCCTGCCTTCCCCCACTTAACCTTTTTCAATAACTGGATCATCTTAAATCCTTCTATAAGGATACTGTGAATAAAACGCAATTATCACATTTTACTGATAATAATGCAATAAGCGTAAACACATTTCCCAACTGATGTGCTAAGATATTGATCCCCTCAACCTTCCAAACAACTGGGCAGGCCTAGAGTAGCCATTACAGGCCCCACTAAAAAAATGTATGTATGCATGCCAACAGGTGGAAACACCTTTATGAGGAGAGCAAACCTTCACTTCCAGCTTGGTGAAAGTACGCAATGCAAGCAAGCCTGGCAGTTAAGCAGAGCCTGCCTCATTCCCTTCTTGAGTTTCTGGACTCCTGTGTATGACCATCTCCAGTCAGGAACAAGGGCTTGTTATCTAAGAGGGTTCAGCATCATATCCTCAGTGTCCAATGAATATCTGTTCTTGGGCTGTTCTGGCTTGTACTTCATTCTGCCTGTCCGTTATTCACAGTCATCTTTAATTCCTAGGCCAAAGTATTCTCCCAGCTTAGCCTCCTGAGAACCTGGAACTATATGCGTGACAAAAAAGCCTATCTTCATGATTTGTTTTTTTTCTTTTTTTTCCCCCCAGTACTGACCTGAACTTGGGGCCTTACTCTCTTACCTTTTTTTTTTCTCTCAAGGCTGGTACTCTACCACTTTAAGCCACACCTTCACTTCTAGCTTTTTGATGGTTATTTGGAGTTGAGTCTTTCACATTTGTCTATATAATCCTCAAATTTCAGCCTCCTGAGTAGGATTATAGGCATACATTGTTTAATATGTCATTTTTCCTAATGAATTGAACATTGGCCCAGAATGAATGGCTGTCCTTGATCTATGTCATCTCAGAGGAGTTCTGCATTGTCTTGTGTCCATATTTGCATCCATAAAACGTTCTTTTTTGTTAACACTGGTCTTTTTTGGTAATAAAAGAAGGTTAGAAAAATAGGATTATGACAGGTACAGTGGTCGTACATTCTTGTAATCACAGCTGCTTGGAAGCCTGAGGCTAGAGGATCATGAATTTGAGTCCAGGCTGGGCAACATAACAGAGTCTCAAAAGAACAGAAGGGAAGAAACAGTAGGCTGTATTCCTCTGTCTCCTGTCCCCATAGCACATTGTAGCAATCTCTGTAAAAGCGTTATCAAATTGGATGTAGTTACTTAGCTCCACAATTTCTCCCCGCCTTAAGTGTTGCTGGAGAACAGATTGCAGTTTGTTCATTTCCTGACCGCTAGATATAGGTTAAGGTCGGAATTAGACTAGGAAGGAGTGAAAATAGAATGGATGGCTATGTGAGTCCAGCACCAGAGTTCCTTCTCTCAAGTGCTGAATTAGGCAGTAAAGCCAGCAGTTTGCCTCTTCAGGCATTCATTATAATGCTGGGTGAAAGTAGAAATCCTACTTTTCTGTTGGCAGAATTATTGGCCTAGTTATTTTCCTAAGCAAGGTCAGTTATTTTCCTAAGTGAAAGGTGTGGATAGATGGATTCTCTGTTGGGCAAAAAGTCTTACTGTCCAGTTTCTGCCTGTACTTGTCATTCTGGAGATTCTTGGGCTCAGAGGAACTTCCAGGCTGCCTGACTCACGATCACTTGCTGTCTTTCAGGCTGATTCATCCCATGAGTGGCCGGTCCTACCATGAGGAGTTCAACCCCCCAAAAGAACCCATGAAAGATGACGTATGTAAACCTGGGATGGGAATTTTATTTCTTCCTTTACTGTTTTCTTTCTTTTCTTTAAAAGCAAACAAAAAACTTCTACTCTTTTACAAATATTACTGATTTAATCATAACAAGTTATCTTTATCAAGTAAATCACATGGGTAAGACAGCTCTTCATAGTGTTTCTCAGATAAGTTATTGTTTGACCTCAGAGTACCTACCAGTGCTAGCTGTTTACCAGCATCCAGTTTGGACTGTCCTCTTTTCAGAACAGTCCTTTTCTGGCATTGTGGCCCCCTAAGCTGTCACCTCATCAGAAAGTTGCTAGGAAACTCTGGATTAGAGGAGGAAAATAGTACTGAAGAGAAGTTTATTGACCCATCCTACTCCAGAATACACTCCTATACTCCAGAAACTGCTGTGCTGTTCCATGGGTTCTCATACATTCTCTAAAGAGTGCATGTGATGTGTTTTAAAGCATTCAGGCAATAGCGAGAAGTTTCCCAGTTTACTTGTGTCATATGAGACAAGTTCATCAGGTCATCCAAGCTTTCTGTGTACATGTTCCAAACCCACGATGTCAACTTAGTCATATTTCACAGTATTGCTAACTCTACCATTTAGAGTTCTTCCTCTTTTCATTTGCCTCTTTTAGAATGTTAGTGAATGTTGCTTTAATACCTATGCTAAGTATTTAGACAATTAACATTACACTTGCTAATGCAGCTCTGAGGCCTCTATCTTCCTTCTTCTAACCCTGGAAGTATTTGTCTTGGAAGCTGAACAGCCTGAGCCCAGAGCTGTTAGAGAGAATTGCCTTTCTTCCTTCAGTGAGTCCATTTTCCTTGCAGTTGCTGTTTCTCCCTGACTTCTCTGCACCAGCTGGTCTGCTTCTGAGAGTAGCGCACTTCTTCATTGAAAGGGTCTAGCTTATGTGTCTTTGCCTTTGATGCACTGTGGGAATAGACAGCACCTTAGGTAGAATGGTCTTATCTCCTATCTGCTTCTGGCATAGGTAAAGGAGACTTGGTCATAGTCCCAACTTTTCACTCTCCCCACATCTTATTCTCAGATCACTGGGGAACCCCTGATCCGGCGATCAGATGATAATGAGAAGGCCTTGAAGATCCGCTTGGAGGCTTACCACACTCAGACCACCCCGCTGGTAGAGTACTACAGTAAACGGGGAATCCACTCTGCTATCGATGCATCCCAGACCCCGGATGTCGTGTTTGCAAGCATCCTAGCAGCCTTCTCCAAAGCCACATGTAAAGACTTGGTTATGTTTATCTAATGTTGTGGGTTCAAAAAGGAATTTCTTCTTCCTTTCTCTACTGAGGGAGCGGGCAGAAATGGCAAGGTAGGCAGAAGGAAGCTTCCTTCCTCAGGCTAGCAAAAATACCTTTGGATGTATTGATTAAAAAGCACTTACTTGATACATCTTGGTGTGTGCCACTCTCATCTCATCTGTGTGTATAGTATAAGTATTTGTTTACTCCTACTTTCTATGTCTTGGTCTAGATTGCTTTTCAAGCTATTTACTTCTTTAGCAGCTTGTCTTGATTTTATTTTTTGCTTTTTTTTTTTTTGGTTGGTTGTGGGGCTTGAAGTCTATGCCCTGTCCCTGAGATCTTCAACTCAAGACTAGCATTCTACCACTTGAGCCACAGCGCCACTTCCTCTATTTTATTTTTTTTTGACCGAAGTAAATTCCAGACACCCCCCATTCCAAAGCCTCAGTATTTATCCCACCTCCAGTAGCTGGCTACAAGTCCAGGGTCAGGTGAAGTCAAGCAGGGTCACAGTTCCTGCTGCACATTGTTGGCAAGGAAGTCTACCTGTTGTCAGCCTCCAGTGAAAAGCAACATGAGTCACTGGGTAGAAAGGGATCATTAATTCCCCTCCCCCCAAATGGAAGGAAAAAAAAAACCATTACAAATTCCAGAAATTACTAGGTATCAAAGTATAAAGATCCAGGCCAAGATGGAATATTTCTGTGATCTACACCATTTGGGGCTTTGATCTAAAAATGGAATTGTTGCCTAAGAATTCAGCCAGGTGAAAGTCCTTTGGAACTGAGACTGTCTTCTGGACATCCAGTCTGGACCTCTAAGAACAGCCAAGCCTACTTCTCCAAAAACAGCACCAGTTAAGTTTGCTTTTGTTTTCAATGTTCACCTCTGTTGCCAAGTTTGAGCAAAACATTTGGAGGTTATGGATTCTAGGACTCAGTTTGATGAGAATTTATTCTAAGCCAGTCTGAGTCCAGGACTTAAAAACCCAAATTAAATGTGCCTCTTCAAAACATGAACCTTCTTTCTCTCAGATCCAACCCTTCACCCCTTATTTCATGATGGTGGGATCCAAAGACACCCAAGAAAAGACCAGCCAAAAAGAAGACCACTTAATGACAGGAGCCAGCTTTTAATTGTAACCTTAGCTCCCCAGCTATTACGCATTTCCCCAGTCCATGCTATGCATGGTGATAAACAGATGAATGGGCCCCGTGAAAAGCTTTAAAAACGTGTGGCCTCTGGAAAAACCATTAGAAAGTCAATGGCACATCCAGTAAATGACGCTGCCTGCCTCAGCATAATCGGCTGCTGACTCGGTGCAGTGGACTCTAAAGGGCCGGGTCCTCATCTAACCTGAGCTCCCCTGCTGTCTGGGACTGCGAGAGGGTTTGTCCTTTATCTGCATGAGACGTGGCTGTGGGTATGTGGCCATCTTGCTTCCTTTTTTTGCCTGTCCAAGTTAAGTGTGTGCTGCCTCTGCCTTGCCTTGTTTCCCTGGCTCTGAGTTAACTCCACCCACTCTTAACAGAAACACTCTCTGACTTTTGTGTATTTCTGGGAAGCAGTGAAACTGCTGGGAATGAGGTAGGAAGAGGAGTGAAACCAAAACTATTAACTGTGCCTGTAGGAGTATAGGATCCTTCCCGGGGTGAGGGAGGCCTTTCCTTGACAGGGTGGGGATGGTTGCAGGCACTCTGGCCTGAAAGATGAGAGCCCTGAAAATTTGATTTGAATGTGCATGATCCTTGCCCGAGTATTTATCATTCTGTCCAGGTATATTTACATGTGCATACATGCACAGACATGTGCATGTGATATGTGGGCTGCAGGTGAGAACTGGAAAATCACAGGGGATACATTTGCCCTTGAGGTAGTTAGAACTATATTTTTTGCATCATCTAATTGCAGTCTTAACCTCAGCAGGCATGAGACTTTGACCTGGCAGAGAAATAGCTCGTGTTGAATGCAATTGGTTGCATGCCAGCCTTCCCTGATATTTACTTGGTTCTTAAAAACTCCTTTTGTTCTCTCTGTTTCCTCTATTTCAGCTTAGTAGCAGAAGGCCAGGCAAGACTGCACCACTGTTCGTCACCCCACGGCGTGATCCCTGTTTTTAGGTGCTGGGCAGAAGGGAAGGGTGGTCAGGGGAAGGAGGGAAAGGGAGGGGTGGTGAGGGACTTGACCATAACTTGGAAGAGCAGTGCTGCTGTAGTGAATGGGGTTTTCTTACACATGGATGGGAGTTTTAGAAGTATAAAGAAAGATTAATTTTTTTAAAGACACTGTGATTGGAGGGTGTGGATACAAATAGGGAGATACAGTATTATAAACAATTAGGGTTTTGTTTACTCTGGACTGGTGACAGATGTTTTTTTAAAGCCAATGCTCTAAAATCAGAACCTCATGGAGTGCTCCACCAAGAACACAGAAAATCAAACCGTGGTCTTGTCTGTCTATAGCATGGAACAGGGAGAATTTGACTGCGGACAACATCTTATGATCAAAATATCATCTCTATGTTTGTGAAAGATAAAGAGTGTGTTAGTTCAGGTGATGGCTCAGTAAAGCAAGTCTACTAAAATTATGAAGGGGGAGAAAACAGTTTTAATCCTGTCCCCTAACTTTACCAGTCTACTTGCTCTCGTGGCATAACTCTCAGCAGCCACCTCAAGCCTTACTGAATTTCATCCCTGGTGTATGAAGCAACCTTTTTAAATAAATAAGGACTGGAGTATAGCTCAGAGGCAGAGCACTTGCCTGGCATGTGCGAGGCCCTGGGTTTGATCCCCAGGACTGTGAAGAAAAAAACAAATGAGCACGTATCCTAAGCTATATCATCCAAAGATTGTCTTTTCCATCCTCACATTCTGTGACTGAGATCACTTGACAGCACTGTGATGTATTATTTTCAACAAGGTGCCTTTCTTAACTGACCAGATGCTGCCTTATTTGGCCCCTAAGTCAATAAAGAATGTTAAAAATTTGTATCCCCTGTTGTGGCTTTTTTTAAGGGAATCTGGGCTAAAATTGACAGTAAGTTGTAGACCTGGCTTAAAGCACTATCTCATGGTCCTTGGCAGCTGGGTGCTATGGAATCCAGGCGTGCTCCTAAGGAGAACCTGTACCCTATGACCTTAAGCTCTCTATGGGCTTTCCTTGAGCCCAGACCATGCACTTTGGTCTAATGAAGACAGCACTGTGGTTAGAGTTCAAGGAATAAATCCCAGCTCTGCTCCAGGTTTTTGGGGGTTTTTGTTGTTTATTGGTGGTGGTGGTAGTGGTGGTAGAGTATGTATATATGTCTTTTGGGTACACATGCTCATATTGGGACTTGAACTTGGGGTCTCACACTTTCACCGTTCTTGGTCATGACTGACTTTTTATGAAAAGCCATGCCTCCCAACCAACTTTGTGCTAGTTAATTGGAGATGGATTCTCACAGACCTTTCTACCTGGGCTTGCCTCAACTATGATCCTCCAGGTCTCAGCCTCCTTAGTAGCTAGGATTACAGGTGTGAGCTACAGGCATGAACTACTGGCACCCTGCTTCTGCTCCTGTTTTCTCTGAAAAAGACTGGTGATGCCACCCTCTCAGACTTACTGGTATTAAATGGAGTTTTAAAGAAGAAACTGTTGGCTTGGTGCCTGCCACATAAAAGTGGGTAAATGTTAGTTGGATTGGAAAATATCTGCTCCCTGCCAAGCTGATAATTTTGGAATGGGCAGTTGTACACAGCCTAGAAAACCAGTGTTTCTGACCTCTAAGCAGGTCTTCAGTTACATTTTTAGCTGCTGCTTTTACAACCTTTGGTTTCTGCTTTGTGTGTCCTGATTTAAATCCTTTTACTTCCCAGAAGAAATAAGCTTGAACCATCAGTTCAAACAGAAACTCTCATGCTTTTGGAAGGTTGCCTTTGAGGTTTCTGAGAAATTGTTCTGTTTCCAAAAGCAGAAGGATCTGGATTGAAAGTACCACCATTCTTCAGGCATCCTGTGACAGAGGCAGGGTCCTGGCTATCACAAGAAATCCTGCTCCATGAGCTATTCCTTTCCTCATTCATCCACTCCTCCATTCCTTCCTAGCTGGCAACTCCAAGGTATCAACATGCCTGATGTTTTTGTGTTTTCATATCTTTTCATTCCCTGAGCTATTCAAATGCGCTTGAACATTTTCTTCCCTTTCTTGGTAATCATGCATCCAATTGAGAAGAAATGTTTGTCAAGCCAGCCTGAGAAACACCAAAGAGAAGAATGAGTAAGCTGTTACTTGTTTGCCTCCTTGGGCCTTGGTTTCCTCCTTGCAAACCAAGATTGGGTGAGAGAAGAATCATCCCTTCCGGAAGACTGGAGTCAAGCCCTATGAAAAGGCTTCTCGCTCTTCCCACATGTCACCTCACACAGCATCCTGTGTGGTCAGATCTGCCCTCCTGTGTTATAGAAAAGGAAACCAAAACTCACAGAAGTCACATTCATCCTCAGGTCACACAGAAGAGGCAGATTTGGAATTAATACACAGTCTCTTGAAACTGACCCCTCCCCTTTGTTGATTTGTGATTCTTGCAGCTGTACTTGGCCTCTCTGAGTAACAGTGGACACTGGGTACCAGACTGGTTTTGAAGGAGTCAACAGCTCTGAGAACACAGGATAATATTAGGATCTCCTATGTGTGCAGCGTGGGATAAGGAGCAGTGTTGTTGGGAACCACGGTCTTTGCTCAGAAGATAGCTCAGTGAGTCAGAAAACATCTCAGCCCTACTCCTCCACTACCAGGTCTGGAACAATGGTCCCTGCTCAGGTATGACCAAAAGGCTCACAAGTCAGGATGGCTAGTATATAGCAGATGCTCAGTAAATGCTGATGGAGTTCACAGACAATGTAGACCTTGGGAAGCTGTTATCTTTTTGGACATCAGGAATCATGCTAAGGATTCTTTACCTGCCCACCTCCTAGAAGTCGTGACCTTCAAGATTATATGCGCAATGTTTTCTTTTTGTGTTTTCATTACCAGTAGCTTAGCACATATGAAATGCTTGTGTGGGGGAGGTTCTGCATACACTATTTGTTCTCAGTGGCCATGTGGAGATCAGTGCCATTATCGTCTCCATGTCATGTCTGCACTTTGAGGTCCATACATCTAGGAATGGCAGAACCCAAGTCTGAGCTCAGGTCTGTGATGCCACATCCGGTCTTGTACCGCTCTGCCAGCATGTCTGGGAAGGTGAAAGGTCAGAGGCACTCCTGAGACAAAAGACTGTGCGCCATGAATCACATGAGAAGGAAAAAATCAAGTACATGTACTTTGTAGTGTGAAGGACCTGAGTGGGGAACATTGACACAGGTAAGGCCCATTTCTCTTTTACCATCCTGCGACTTCCTTGCTGTTGCTGTAAAATTGGAAGCAGCTGTGTTTAGAGTTGCATAGGACAATGTGGTGATGAGCTGCCTTTGCCTTCTGAGTGCTGGGAGATGGCCAGGCAGAGAGCACATGGGAGTGCAACGATGGTATCAGAGAGCAAGACCAGATGCCAAACCTGTGCAGATGGCTGTAAACCAAACACATCTGCATTATTTGTTGTGGAGACATAAAGCGCAGACATTCCATTGTATAGTGTCCCTTAGAGACTTTTAGGACAAGTCCTTCTGAGCTTAGACTGGAAGTAGTTATGTTCCCTGTTTAGTTGGGCAGCATTTTCTGGGTTTTGCTTTATTTGTGCCAGTACTAGGGCTTAAACTCAGGGCCTTGAGCTCTGGTTTGGCTCAAGGCTGAGACTATTACTTGAGCCACACCTCTTTTCTTTTTTGGCCTGGCAGCAAGGAAACTTGTGTTGTGTTCAGCTGTGATGCTTCTCTGCCAGGATTTCTTAGTACAGTTCTTTCCCCACCCCAATTCCAGTTGCTTTATGTTTTGCATTTTTGTGTCTGTGTGTTGGGAGCTGCCGTAAGTTATTTTGGAAAAGAATTGGAGTGGAGAAGCAGGCTAATTGTGTGGTACAGGAGGTCAGAGACTGCATGCAGGGGAGGGAAGATTCCAGTACAGAGTGAAGTCCAAGGGAAAGTAGAGAGGCCGCTGTGCTGGGGATGTGCCAACCTAGTGAACCAACACCAGGAGTTCTTGGAAATAGTATTTTTCAAACAAAGTACAAATACAATAGAAAGGGATTTGTTAGTTTATTAATGATATCAAGAACCCAGAAAAGATGGCATGGTGGCCTCAGATCTATAATCCCAGGCACATAAGAGGGAGATTGGGAAGATTTTGGTTTGAGGCCAACCTGGGCAAAAGTTAGTGAGATGCTCCCAACTCAGCAATGAGGCAGGTGTGGTAGTGAGTGCCTTAACATCCCAGCTACATGGGAGGTATAAATAAGAACCTAGGCCACACCAGGCTTAGCAGAATAAGACTGAAAAGCAAAATGAAAAGGGCCAGGGACATGCTCAAATGGTAGTGTGCCTGGCTAAACAAGCACAAGGCTCTGAATTCAAAACCTGCTAACGCTTAGGAAAAAAAAGCAGAAAAAAATATACATACAGTTGATGCACCTTTAAGTTCATTCCATGTGCCATTCCTCCTCCCTGGACACACTGCAGTCTGTGCTTAAGCAATGAAGGAGAAGGTCTTTGCTATGGCACTGGAGGAGGAAGTCCTCAATTTTGTAAGCTGTGTTCCAAACATGTGCCCAGTGGTATGAGTATGAGTTCTGGGAATGACAAAGATGACCTGTGGGGCTAGAGGCATGGCTCAAGTGGTACAGAATCACCTGAGCAAGCTTTAGGCTCTGAGTTCAAATCCCAGTACTAGAGTAAAAAATTGGTGATTAGATCCTGGCAGGGCCAGCCTCCTATGTGCCTTGACAAGGAGGGAGGTGAAGGACACTTCTAAGCTTCAACAAACTCACTCTAAAATGAGAATCACAGCATCCATTAGAAGGGTAATAGAAGCTGGGCGCAGGTGGCTCACTCCTGTAATCCCAGCTACTCAGGAGACTGAGATCTGAGGATCACATTCAAAGTCAGCCTGGCAGAAAAGTCCATGAGATTCTGCCTCCAGCAAAAAGCTGGACTAGAGGCCTGGTTCAAGTAGTAGTACACCAGATATGAGCAAGCAAGCCAAGCAAGAGCAGGAAACCCTGAGTTCAAGCCTTAGAACCAGCCTCAAAGAGAATGAAAAGTAGCAGCTACCTGATAAATGATTCTTCATCTTTTCCCATTGGCACTTGCCGAGGAAAAAAAACCTTGCCATGGTCATGAGTATTTTAGGTGTTATCTTTCA